TATGTACATTCACTATTAATGTGTAAACTCAGTGTGACAGTTTCCTTTTCCTACCTGCACATATCTTTTTATATATATGTATATATATATATATATCCCTCTTATAATATTCCAGAAAAATATAAGAATGAAAAGCACTTCTGTAAAATTCCATACTCCTTACAAGGACGATTTAATTTCATTATAATTATTTTTCACCTAAAAGTCACTAACAATAGATAACTAGGATTCACTTCTAAAGGAAACCTGAAAAGAAATACAGCAGCAGCACATTTTACGACAAAAATGCAAATACCAATACTACATACACTTTTGGAATCTGAGGGACCACCAGCTGGCCTTGACTTGGACCGTTCAAACACAGCTCTTAGTGACTCCTTCTCATGTCTCATCTTGCGCTTGATGGCCTCTAGCTCAGAGGTGTCAGCTGTGGTCCCCTTTTTGGGGGGACGGACGAATAAGGCTTTGAAGGCCTCCAGGGCAGTCTCGGGCGGCTTCGGCTTGACCTCGCCGCCCTGGGCGCGGGCTTCTCTGGGGCCGCTCTGGCTCTCCTGGTCAGCAATGCAGCCCATCTCTTCTCCCCTGGACGATTCAGGGTCCGCTGCCTTCAGGTCGGTTTTGGGCATGTCAATATTGAGCAGCTGAGAGAGCTGCTCCAGGAGAGTGGGAGTGGCCTTCAGACCAGTTGCTTTCTCCCCACTCTTCACTGTCTGTGGCCCTGCCTGCCCAAGGGACTTCTGAACAGGCTGGGTCAATTTGAGCAGAGCCAGGTCCCCATCCTTTGGTTTAATTTCAGTGATAGTCTCCCCTCCCTCAGCCATAGTCCCCTTCTTCAGCACACGAAGTCCACTAAAAAAAGCTGGAAGCTGGAATGACTTCTCTCCAGGGACTTCTCTTTTAGGATACGCACTCTCGGCGACACCAACACTCAAATTCTGGTCTGTTACTGCAGGTAGGACTCCGGACCCTTCTTCTCTGGCTTGGCCCTGGCTGGGGCTGTGCTCTGCCTGAAAGCCACCATCACCAGGTTCCCGTCTGCTACTTATCTCAGGTGGAGTCCTTTGAGGATCTTCTGCACAGACCTCTGCAATGTCCATTTCCCCAGTAGCAATATTTTCCCTAGAACCTCCCGGTTTTTCTTCAGGCTCCTGAGATGGCTCAGATACAACAATCCTGGGGGACTCTGGGTCATTGGCATTGCTCCCCTCCTCTGGCTCCTGGCCACCATCATCAGAGTCCGAATCACTGGTGGTGTGCACAAGGGTCCCACGAACCCAAATGACATTGTCTCTGGTCACACTCACAGTAGTGAGAGGAAGAACCTCTTGACCAGAGAGAGAAGTCCTTGCTTCTGCTTGTCTCTGACTTTCCTCTGATTCTGTCTCCACCCCCGCAGGCTTCCCATCATTTCCAAGATTATGTGGAACCTGAGCCTCTACCTCCTGCTGATCGGAATCATTGCTGGGATCATCCTGCTGAGGTGTGGAATCCACCTCCAAATTACAGAATACTTTCAGCACAGCATCTTCCTTTTCAGGCTTCACAGATTCCAGTTTATTCGTAAATCCAAACAGGGATTTCATAGAGAACTTACTTAGGATGGACTGAGCCATTTCAAATCCGACTTCGGGTTTTTCTGGTTCGGAGACATCACTGCCATTCAGAGTGTTACCAACATCCTCCATGTCTCAGCACTGCCCCTGGTAGAGGCTCTGCCTTGTGTTACCTTCCCCTGCTCTCTCAGTTTATCCACTCCATCTGCTCTTAATTTACAGGACAGAGAGCCGCAGGACTCGGGCGCCAGGCTCTCAGCCGCTCAGCAAACACACTGGGTCTCTTTGAGGTCACTATGCCCTCCTTCCGGTTTGCGCGATGATGGTGCCCAGGGCAACTGTGGAGCCTCCGAGGCTGAGCACCTTACCACACGCGCACCCCGGGGAGGCTGCTCTTCTGAAACTTCCGTATTTATTCCCGTTGACAAAAGGCTTTTTGTCCTAGGGAAAGTCAGCCTGTCGGGTAATCCCAGCCCAGGGCTTCACGATGAGCTCCGCCCCAGTGCCGGCGGTTCTCCTGGTGGCATCCAACTTCCTCATTGGTGAGCAAGTTGAAGTTCCTGAAAGTGCTGAGCCAGCGAGCTGATCCTGGTAGCCCTTAACTACCGCCCGGAGCCGCCCAAGGGATTCAGAAGTGAATCAGCAGAAAAGGACTTTAATACTTCTACGGGAGCCCTCTTTTCCATCTGGATTACAATCAGAGGCCTGGGCTGTCCAGGCCAAACAAAACAGCAGTTCACCTAGATCAACAGTCACTTACAAAGCCCAAATCAAAGAAACAAAGAAAGAAATACATCATCTCAAAATGTGCAGAACTCTGAAAACAGTTAATTTACTGCCCTTGAAGCTTTTTTTTTCTTTCTTTCTTTCTTTTTTTTTTTTTTTAGTGCTTTCTTCCGCTTCCCTGCAGGTTTCATCTGGAATGCAGATTTTAGCTGCTGGGGTCAGAGGAGGAAAACCAACAGGACTGGTTTCAGATTACTGCTGTTTTAGCTCTGCCCTGGCTGTCCCGGTGTTCAAACAGGTACTTAGGCAAGCACGCCCACCACGCCCAGCATCCACCAGCCATAGGGTGGCAGAGTAAACAGCCCGGCCCAGCAGGAATGATTACCCTCTGCACTCCTGTACCAACCTCAGACTTCTTTCTGCTCAGCAGCAGTGGACTTCCTGGCTTCCTTAGGAATCCTAGCAGCAGCAGGGCACCCCTCTCCACGTGGGTGTTCCAACCATTATTAAACAAAACCTGGCATGACAGTGTAACACACAACCTGCCTTTTTAAGCAAAGCAATTCAAAGATCCCCAAAGGATCCACATTTCCTCAAAGGGCAAGACATCTAAAAGGTCTCTATCAATCTGGTCTCTATCACAGACCCAATTTGCCTAACACAAAAACAGGACAGACAAAACCACCACCAAACCTCAGCTCAGTGTAATTCCCACCACTCCTATTACCTGTTGGGAACCTGGCAACTACGGATGGGGGGAAATTGCAGCTCTGTTTCCTAGCTGCCTCTTGGGACAGCTTCCTGTCATACCCGAAGGTCTCAGTGTTTCTCAAATCTGATCCAATCAGCAGGCATAGATTGGGCACCTGGGATAGCCAGGGCACTGTGCTGGATCAAGAGGAGAGGCAAACTGGTTTAACAGTAGTCACCTGCTCTCTGAGCCAAGGTACAAGAAGATTGCGGCCAAGTGTTAAACACAAATAGCAATTTCTTCTGCAAAATGGAAGCTGAAGTCACAAGCAAAATGACAGTCTTGCTTTACCCGCAGCAAGGATTGGCTGTGGGTCACACGTTCATAACTTCAGCTGTACTCCCCAGTATTAAAAACAAGACTCATTGGCCGGCCTGTGGCTCACTCGGTAGAGTGCGGTGCTGGTAACACCAAGGCCACGGGTTCGGATCCCATATAGGGATGGCCGGTTAGCTCACTGGTTGAGCGTGGTGCTGACAACACCAAGTCAAGGGTTGAGATCCCCTTACCGGTCATCTTTAAAAAAAAAAAAAAAAAAAAAAAAACAAGACTCATTAGTATTAACAGTGACAAATTCTGATTGTAATAATACATTCATAGCAATGTGTTCAAAAGGAACCCTCACAAAATAAAAAGGGTATATGTCATTATATCCCACCAACCCCTATGGGAACGTTAAAAGAGCACTTTCTAAACCCTGATTTGATATGGTGTCCAAATGGATACTTGCCTGTTTACTCCTGATCTTCGCATATTTTGTGATTTTTAACTGAGTCACACCTCATCAAAAAGCCACCAGAACAGTGCAGAAAAATTCAATGGTGTCATTTAAGCCTCAAAACTTCCTGTCTAGAGGAAGTGTCCATTGATAAAAGACTTCTGCTTCTTCGAGATTGTGGAAAGAATCATCACACCAAATCATAAGATCAGTCTAAAGAGCTACACAGACAATCCAGCACAAGGCTGAGGGTAGGAAACACAGCACACATTTGGAGTTCTTTTTTGTTGTTTGTTTTTAAGTGAGAAGCCTCCATTTTCTTAGACATAACTAATTATTGATCTCCAGAATCAGCTTCCAGGCCCCTCAACATTTTGGGCAAAATGAGACAGAAGCTGAAAGGGGCTGTTAGCCTCTCTACACCAACAGGAGTATAAAGTTTCAGCATCCTCTCAATATCTCAGATGCCAACACAATTTCATGGAAAGTGAGGGCAAGTCTGATCCCAGGAGATATTTAATTGCAGTCCCGTGGCTCTAGGTAGATAAGGTATTATATTATGCTTATTTTATTTTGTCTTTTTGAGTTTTTTCTTTTTTGTGTGTTTAGGCTCATTTTAAATGTTAAGCAACCACAGCTGAAAGAAGGCAACTGACCACAGTTATACAACTAATAAGTGGGAGATAATATCTAACATTTGAGTGTCTGCTATGTGCCAAGCACTGTTTTAGGTGATCCACGCATATAAACTCAGTTGATACAGATAACTCATACAGATATGAGGTTGGTATTATTATTCTCTTTTTCCTGCTAGGAAACAGGCTCAGAAAGATTAAAAAGCTTGCCCAGGATCACAGAGCCAGTGAATGATAGAACTAGAGCTCGAATCCAGGCAGCCAGGCTCCAGAATCCACATTCTTAACCACTCTTCTAAAACCCAGAGCTCTACCTTCTGCCCTAATAGCACATTATACACAGCTGAGTCTTGAAGTATAACGATGTTTCAGCTCCGTTTGCTGGTGGTCTCTCACTAGGATGTGAAATGTACTTTACCCTCTGAGGTGACATAGAAGACAAACTTCACACTTATACTGAGAATGACCATTCTCTTTTCTTGCTGTAAGTTGAGGAAAAAATCTAGTGGTACTTCTTGGGGGGTGGCGGGGGGAGATCAAGCAAAAATTCCAGTAACATCTAGCTGGCCTGTCTACCGATCACATAGGCAAGACACAGAATCCTGTGGGCTCAAAAACATCTGGAGGTTTTCTACCTTCCTTGTACTATCTTTCTTTATTTATGAAGCACGACTCCTATTACAAAGACTTACTCATCCAACATTGTCAGTGAGCACCAGCTACATACGAGGCTCTGAGAAAATAAAAATGAAGATTCTCCAACCCTCCATCTTCATGAAATGTGTAGTTTACCAGGGGAAATCAGCCGAGAAAGAGTGACTCTTTGTTCATAGACTGTAACCAAGGTCTTTACACCCCAGACTCAGTCTGCATAGCAACAGCTGGACCTAAAACAATTTTGAATGAAAGCAAGCAGTGACCATGTAAATACAAAGGTAACAAAGAGCAGCATGATAATGCAAAGAGCTCCTTGGAGCCCTGCCACTTCTAGGCCACGAGTTCTCGTGACCATAACAAATGTCACTATTTCTGGTCACTCAGGGAATTGAAAATGTTCAAATAAGCAACCTACCAATTTGATCTAAGTTGGTTGGTCTTGAAAAATGAATCTATTTGGAGCTTTATCATTTTTAGGGTGGGGAATGATCACTTCTCTTGGATGTTGTTTATCTTGGTATCTTGTTCTGTGATAGTTAATAAGCACCTACCACACAAAACCAGTGGAAGCCAAGATGTTCGTCATTTACAGCCTACTACAACCTCAGCTGATTCTCTTTTGTTCTAACCTCAAGATATTTAAACTCTCTAATAGCCATTTGTGCAAAAAGCTAGATAAAGATGACCCACCCTCAGACAACTACGTCAAAACACTCACGATAAGTAATTAGGTAGCATTTGACCCACATGATGGTCTTTATAACTATGTGTTATAAATAATCAGTACCTAGCTACTTAAAGTCTGAACACAGTATTTGTGCAAAGAATTTACTACCAGTGGATTCTCCATGTTTCTCCCGTCTCACCATCCTCTCAGCTGGAGCCAAATGTACCTCTGGGCAGTAAGAATATCAGTCCAACAAGGCGAGATAAGCCTGGAACAATTACAACAAAAGGACATCCATCACCTCCTGGGGGCAGTAGAGCCGAACTCCACAACTTTCATAACAGAGAAATCAGCATTAAAAACAGATTTTTAAAAAGTCATCTTGCAAAAGTTGAACACAGCCTAAAAGAAAACTTCCTTAGGCCCCCTTACTTTTCATAGCCCCTCCCCCACATCATTCAGTTTAGATAATTTACTCCTACACTCTCATAAAACCCCAGAAAGGCAAGGTAAAAGTAAAGCAGATGAGATTACATTTCACTGTGTTAGGCTACTTAATTGTCATTTTTCTCCTTATCCAATTTATTTCACATGCTGGGCCTGACTGTAATGACTAATTGCTTCCAGCTTCCTGAATTAGTTCAAATAGGTTCATGTGAAGATTTCTTGAAACAAGCAGAAAGTGGAGTTAAAATTAGTAAGGGTAAATAAGAGTAGAAAAACTTTCTGTGGAAGAAAAACGTTTAGAACTATGGACTGGAAAAAGTAAGCTATGAAGAAAGATATGGGGAGGGTAAGGAGTGAAGACGGGGTGTTTTGGTTCAGGATGTGATTAACTCACCAAATGAAGTCGGGTACAGAAGGAGAAAGCTGAAAAAATTATGACATCAGAAGTACTAAAAAAAAGTCTTTTGAATGAATGGGGTATCATATAAAAGGAGCATAAGAACATGGAAGAATTAGGGTAGAATCAAGTTG